TAAAATAAAGAATAACGCTGTAAATTGCAAGGATAATTTTGCTTTGACGTGTCATTTTTCACGCCTTATAGTTCACAGTTTTGTCAAGTGTGACGCTGTCTGTGCGAAAACGCGGAATTGGCTCGCGAGCCAGCAGGAGCCTTAATTATGTTAATATTTAATATTTAATTTACTATTCAATATTTAATATTTAGAATTCAAATCAATGAAATTTAATAATTATAAAAAAATATTAAACATTTTTATTAAGAATACTTTATATAAAATAGTACTTACACTGTTCTATCATACATTTGAATGTGCTCTAGATCCTCATCTGCTGTTAGCATGTTTGTACCCTTTACTTTTTGAAATCTGGATAATTGATTATCTTCTGTTACATCAACGTTGGTGTAATTATTAGAGAATTCATTTGTTTCATCAACGTTGGAGCAATTACCAGATAATTGATTGGCCTTCTCCATGTCGATGTATATGTCTTTTTTATATAATAATTTATGAAAAAATTAAATTATTAGTGTAACAAATCAGTAAATAAGTAACATTTGTACAAATTACTTTATGTAATTGTATTATTCAAAACAAGTAGAAACTTGCACATTGCTTTCTCAGTTTTTAAGTGTGCAAGTAGAAACTTGCACATTACTTTCTTATAGTTTTTAAATGTGCAAGTAAAAACTTGTACATTGCTTCCTCATAGTTTTTAAGTGTGCAAATAGAAACTTGTTTAAGTGAACAAGTAGAAACTTGTACATTGCTTTCTTATAGTTTTTAAGTGTGCAAGTAGAAATCTGCACATTACTTCCTCTATGGGGAAGCCTGTTTTTTAATGCATAATTATTAGTAGATATTTATTAATTTGACTTCCTCATGGAGGAAGCAATGTGCAAGTTTCTACTTGCACACTTAAAAACTATAAGAAAGCAATGTACAAGTTTCCACTTGCACACTTAAAAACTATAAGAAAGCAATGTAAAAGTTTCCACTTGCACACTTAAAAACTATAAGAAAGCAATGTACAAGTTTCTACTTGTACATTTAAAAACTATGAGGAAGCAATGTACAAAGTTTCTACTTGCACATTGAAAAACTGAGAAAGCAATGTACAAGTTTCTTCTTGTACACTTTTTTTTTATAGATAGAGTGTCATTAAAGATACTTACACATTTTTTAAACAGAAATCGGTAACCCTCTCACCGATTCTCGCAAAATTCAAAACAACTTTCTTTTAATAATATTCTATATAAAATTACATGTACATCTTATACACTTTTTAAGCAGAAATCGATAATCCCTTCACCGATCCTCGCCAAATTCACTAACAATCTTCCTTTAATAATACTCTATCTTCAAACTTAAGGTAAACCGAGGCGAATTGGATCAATATAAGTTTTAAGATAGTTTTCGTTAATGTTTTTTTTTCAAACAAGCTATTTTAGCGTGTTAATTAATAATCCGATTTGCCTTGGTCTACGTTATATATTTTTTAGGCAGAAATCGGTAACCCTTTCACCAATCTTTGCAAAATTCAAAACAACCTTCTTTTAATGATACGTTCTATATATAAGATTACATGTATAACTTGTACACTTTTTAGGCAAAAATCAGTAACCCCTTCACCGATCATTGCCAAATTCAACACCAACCTACCTTTAACGATACTCTATCCATAAAATAAAAATTAAACTCGATATCTCAAAATTTGCGAAAATTAGGGCAATCATATAGATTTTTTAAAACAGAAATTGGTAACCCCTTTATTATTAGCAATTTTTATTAATTCTATTATATTCTTTAATTTTTTCTACCCCTATTTCATATATAATTCGTTAAGATTTGGTTGATTAGTTCTAGAGTTATAAAAATTTCGGTAAATTTGGCACATACATACATACACACGTATCGACATTTTTTTTAATGCAATATTTTGACGTTTTAGAACATAAGAAACACATTAGCATCGAAAACTAAAAAAAAATTTTCTCTTCGGCCTTTTCTACCTCTATTTCATGTATAATTCATTAACATTTAGTTGATTAGATCTAATTTTATATGCGATCAAAGGTCTATATACGAAGTTTATGTAAACAAAGCTTCTTCTATGAGGAAACAAAAAAATTTATCTGAATATTTATTAGTTCCTTCTAGAGATTTCAAATTGTCTTAAATATTAATCCTTTGTCTGATAACGACCTTCTAGCTGACTGTATAAGTCTGTCACGTTTGACGTTAATTTTTCTATTTTTTTTCAAGTATTTTAAAGAATTTGAAAAAATTTTGCAAACATTTGTGAATATTATAAGATATTAATAATTTTATAATCATTTTGATAAACATTGCTTATTTAATATTTTTTGGCGGGCTTGTAAGTTTTATAGCTAGATGTAAATATCATTTTGGATTGAATGTCGTAAACCCACATTGTTAGACAATTACATCTATAACATACATAATCCATAATTTTTTAAACATATATTTCTTTATATACATAATTTTTAACACATCTACTATCTCGCTGTTCGCCAAGATAAACTTTTAATGCTTGCCAGGAACGAACTCGTGAAAAAGCAACATAAAGTTGTCCATGATTAAAAACATCTTTACGAAGATCTATTCCTACTTTGTCAAATGTCTGTCCCTGTGATTTATTAATCGTCATAGCAAAAGCTAATTTTATTGGAAATTGTCTCCTTTTAAATGTAAAAGGATATACATTTTCACAATACAATGTTATACGATTTAAAAAAACAATATCTCCTGTTTTATCACCTGTTAATATCTTACATTTCAATAAATGATTTGCAAGTTCTATAACCATTAATCTAGTACCATTACAAAGTCCTTCATTGATATTAAGATTTCTTATTAACATAATGATACAGTTCGGTCTTAATCGCAATTCGTAAGGAGGAAGAGATGATGGAGACAAAGTATTTAAATATTCTGGTAATAAAGATTCACTAATGTCACCATCATTGCCACAATTTATAGCACTATCTATACTTGTATAAATTCGTTCTTCCGTTTTATTTAATAATTCAACAACTTGTTTATTTATTTCATCTACATCGATATTTCGCGCAGAAAGTATCGCACATTTAGCCATGTTGTCAAATTCTTTTTTTTGTATTAAATCACCATATATATCTGTAACAATATCTGCATTAGGTGGTGCTATGCAACATTCAGGAATTTGTACATTATTATTAAAATCATTTAATATCCCATCACCCATATTTAATAGAAATTTGGCAAATTCAATTTCATTTGGAAGAACTCGCATATTTTCTGTCAAAGAGAAATTTACGAAATATTTCCAGAGAAAACTAAATTTAATAGAAAGATTCACAATTTCACTTCGTGTACCTCGTACTTTAATTGGAAGAAGTTGTCTAAAATCACCACCTAATATGACAATTTTCCCACCAAATAATACATCATTATTCATAATGTCACGCAATGTTCGATCCATAATTTCCAAAGCATATCGTGGCGCCATTGGTGCTTCATCCCAAATAAAGATATCTATTTCTTTTAAATATTGAGCTTCTTTAGACTGAATTTTAATGGGAGATGATGAGTCAACAAATAGTGGAACTGGCAATCTAAAAATTTTATGGACTGTCTTTCCAGCAGGAAGTAACGTAGCTGCGATACCTGTGAAGGCCATTGTACACACACGTTTCTTTCGAATTTGAGCTAAATAATAAATTGTTGTGTATACAAATGTTTTACCTGATCCACCTGGGCCATCAATATAAAAACAATGACTATTACGACTTTTATCATCTAATCTATTTAATATTAAATCAACTATTTCTTTTTGTTTTTTATTTAATTGATTATATTGCCTAATACCTACTTCCATTGCTTGTTCTATGGTCACATTACCTTCTTCTTCATTATTTTCTATTAATTGTTCCATTTGTGGAAAATCGGTGAAACTTTTGCCTTCAGCAAGAAGCATAGCACCGATTTGTGCATAAACTTTTTTTTGTGCTTGTAACATACCAAAATGTCGCGCATAATCTTCTGACATTGCTATTTTAAAACTTTCCCAAAGTTCATCAGGATGTAAAGGTTGACAATGTATTAAAATACGCACAAATAATTTACGAAGCTGTCGTGGCATCATCCATCCAACAGCTTCATCCATAGCTCGTTTCCATTCATCATCATCTTCAATTAAACCTAAAGCTAAACATGTTTCCAAAAATGATTGATAAATTTCTCCTTTTACAGTTTTTAAATCGTTAAAACTTGTAGCTCCCTTAACATTAAGTAACAGTAACCGTAAATGAAATAATTCTATTTGTGTTGGACTAACAGTATACATTCGACCTATACAATTATACGACCTATAATTACTACGTTTAACCCAATGTGATATAGTTTTTCCATTAATTTTTTCTTTTTTAAAAGTATAATAACGTGGAATATCTACGTATAAATACTTTCTTGCTTCAATATCGCGTAAATTTAGTGCAAAATAATCTATTAACATAGTGACTTGATTTAAGGCAGAAGTCATTGCATTTTCAATAGATTCATTTTCAATTATTATACTTTGTTCATTAGGTAGATGAACTGGCAAACGTATTATAGCATGACTTTTATCTTGCAATTTTTTGCTAAGTATACGCCAGCTAGCTTCTACAGGTCCAACGTAACGTGCCTCAATATAATTGCGTATCTCGTCATGATCAATAACTATATTTTCTGTTATTGGTTCAATTGTTATAGAGGCAGCATCATGACCTTTATAAATATATTTGTATAGATATTTAACAGATTTGATACTGGAAACTATTTCAACATTAACATGACTATTAAATATAACTGATAAGTAAGGACAATATGGAACAACATAACGATTATCAACTATATATCCACCAGGTCGTTCAAAAGTCTTACCAGTATCTCGTCGACGATAATATGGATAAGCATCCTCATCCATTCTCGTTTCTTCAACGAAAGTTTTTGGATAATGTTTCGAACATTTCCCATCTATTAAACACCAATCGCCACAAGGCCCGTGAATCATATGTCTCATAACTATGTTATGCAAATTATGATTCTCACATGGATCAGGAATTTCAGCAGATATATACTTATCAACAATTTCTGAAGTTGTTATTTTAAAATTTCGTTTTAAAGTGATCAACATATGAACGTGTGGTAAACCACGTTTCTGAAATTCAATAACATATACATATGCTGCTACTTCACCAAAAAATTTTTGTTTAACAATCACATCTATAAGATAATCTTTTTTAATATTAAAAACGCGTGCACAAATATCAGGTCTATCATAAGCTTGTTGACCAGGTAAAAGATTTTCTGTAATTTCACGCCATTTTGGATTACAGGTCATTGTGACAAAAAGATCTGGTTTACCAAATTTAACAACAAGTGTCATTGCATCTTGGTAATTTTGAAACATATTACGTGGTGAGCCGATAAACGTAGAAGGAAGTATAACCATTTTTCCAATACGTCCATTTAAATTATTTACCATATTTTGCATATAATCTATTAAACCTTGATATGTTTCAGAGCGCAACTCTTTTTGATGAGTTTTGCAATATTCCGTTCTGTCTCTTTCAATTCTTACGTAATTGTCTACAAGCCATTGTTGGAATAAGCGTCGTCCTAATAAAAAAATATTAAAATCATCACGAATAGCCATGCGATACTTGACATATTGCCCTCTACTTATACGTTTGTCACTATTTAATTTCTTTAAATGACAATGCCATCCTTGAGTACCGTATGGATAAAACAATGGATAAATCCATGGCTCAACATTTGGGTTCATGATACTGATATTTTGCAAAGTTTTGGTATTTTTATTACGTACTACAACGTATGATTCAGGTATTTCTCCATCAGCAGTTGTAACGAAAACAGCAGCAACTTCATTCGTTCTTTGGGCATTATATCGACGTCGATCCGTTTCTGGTCTTAAGTTAAATAATAATTGTAATTCCAATTGATTCGATTCTAATTGTCGTTGATTTTCTAATTCTTCACCCATCATTTGATATGATTGAGCAAACACGTTATATTCTCGCATTATGTGCTCAAGATTTTGCACGATTTCCAAATCCAAATTTAAATTATCATTAAGACGATAATTTATAGATTCATTTGAATCTACAATAAAAAGTTGACCATAAGTTGGATTTTCATTTGGCGCAGCATGCAATGCTGTATTAAATTGATAATAAATTTGACCCTGTATTTTAAAGCAATATGGACCAGGTCGTCTATTTTGAAAATTAATCAAATTAGCGTTAAATGATGCAAATGAGAATGAACTATTATAACTACGAATATTTTGGAAAAAACGATTAGATTTTGCATGATTTCCTTCAAATAAAGTACGTAAAAAATGAGGACATATGGGTAATGATTCAAGACATACTGCCCCATGATTACAACAATCATGAAACGAATTTCCTCTATTAATAATTTTTTCAGCTATAAAATGCTTAGCGTTACAGTGAATACACGACACATCCATAGGGCCAATATAATGTTCAACTAAATTATCAACTGATATCATATTAATATTTAAACGAGATTGTTCTTTCTTACGTAATCGATAACGAGATTGTTTTTCTGCACGTGTAATGCGTTGTATCACTTGATCAACAGACGATGTACCGGCAATACAATTAGTATCAGATTGATATTCTGTATACGTGACATCTTCTATTACATTACTAACAGATGATGTATTGGCAATAGAGTTAGTATCAGATTGATATTCTGTATACGTGACATCTTGTATTACATTACTAACAGATGATGTATTGGCAATAGAGTTAGTATCAGATATTTCATTAACTACTACATTGTTTTTATTAATTGCTTTTTTTGCAATCTGTCGGCGATTGTATTGATTTTGCACTTTTCTCTTACGGCGTTGTCTTCTTTCGAACGTTCTACTTTACGTCTTGGCATTTTATTGAAGTATATAAATATCGAAAATATTCAATGAAATTATTACTTCACCAAATAAATACAATAATTATTAAATTACTTATTAAAAAATAAAAATACAAATTTAATCTTTATATTTTACTTTATGTGTATACGTATTATAAACACACCTAAACACATATAATTAAAATTTTTAAATAATTTTATAATATTACTATAAAATATATAAATTTCGTACATATACATATACAGCAATAATAATCAATTTTATCATCATCATCATCAATATCATCAATATCATCAACAACGACAAAAACAACGTCATCATCATCATATCATCATCATCATCATCATCATCATCATCATCATCATCATCATCATATTTTTCTAAATCATGAAAGTAAAAAATTTACACAAACCTGATAATTTAATAATTATTTCCAATTCCTTTCCAAAAGTCTCTTCCAGTACCTTTCAAGAATTTACACACGCTTAAGTCCTAATTGAGATTCTGCTTAAGTATTTCTTTGACACAGAACAAACTGAAAAGAACCATTAAGATACACAAATTTAAAATTTTAGAATATATTTAAATCGTAAAACGATAAAGAAATTAAAAAAGATATATGAAGAATAATGTGAAAAAAGTGAAAAAAACGAGCAAACATGCCTTCTTCCTTATTCCTTTATCTTATTCCTTATTTTTCTCATTATGTCTGAGCTCCAAAGACCATTGCACGTACAAAAATTTTAATAGTAATCGCAAGACAGTAAAAAAACTAACCAATCATAATCAATAATTCTCCTTGCAGTCAAAGAATAATTGATTGTGATTGGTCAATTTTCTTACGGCCTTGCGATTACTACTAAAAATTTTGTACGCGCCATGGCCTTTAAAGTATTACATATATGATGTTGACATATGCATACTCGTCATATATAAAATAATAAATATTCTAAAAATATACATGTGACGTTGTGGCATGTAATTAAAATAAAAGTAATAAAAATTCATACATATATTACAAATATGTTGTTTTGTAATTTTATTATTTTTGTACGAGCAACAACATTAATGAACAGCACAAACCTTAAAGGTTATATTATGTACACACATATACAATGATTAATTATTATTATTGCTCATTAATGTAGTTACTCGTACAAAAATAATAAAATTACAAAACAACATATTTGTAATATACATAATTCGTCAATCGTCAATTTATTATAGAACCAGTATAAATTTCTTATTATCTTATTATATAATTTATCCACACATCTATACATCTTTTTATTTATTTTTATAATACAAGTTTTCTCACCTTGTTATTGTATGATTGTTTATTACTTTTATTTAAATTACATGCCACAATGTCACATGTTTGTTTATAAAATATTTATTATTTCATATACGGCGAGTACGCATATATCAAAATATGCGCTTATGGAGTTTCGGTTAACCTAGAGGTCCTAAGAGTCTATCCAAATAAACTTGCATAAATGCATATGTATAAGGAAATGGATTGGTCTATTTCCTTATGCACATATGTATATAAACCAATCAATTTTCTTATGCTTATTGTGTTTATGCACTATGCAAGTTTGTCTGGATAGATCTTAAGGGTCTATCCAGATAAACTTGCATAAGTATATATGCATAAGGAATTGGATTAGGATCGGAAAAAACTTGAGCTTATATTTAATTCTAAATTTTTGGAAAAATGCTTATTTTTGCTGTAACTACGCAAATTTTAAAATATCTCTATTTTTTTATTCTATTACATTCTTCAACCTTTTTCAACCCCTATTTTATATATAACTTAGGTAAATATTTACAATTAGGGCCCCACTTCCGATGACCTTGAATTTGACATATATTGTCAAGGACACCCTCCCGAGTAACATGCAAGTAATTTTTGTCGGGAGTCATTGTTTGTTAAAAAGTTATAAACAAAAAAAGTTTGGAAAACATAGCAACTATTTTGAGTATTGCAAGGCATATAAAAGACTAATATATATGTCGAAATAGTTCACGCATACACTTTTCACGTAAAACAAGTTGTCACATGGGTTCGTGACGCGCTTTACAAGCTCGTTTAGGTAGAGGTGGTATTAAACAAGATAAGTTAGTCGATCATCTGTGTAAATATTTGTAGCGATATATAATAAACGAGCTTGTAAAGCGCGCCACGAACCCATGTGACAACTCGTCTCGCGTGGAAAGTGTATGCGTGAACTATTTCGACATATATATTAGTCATTTATGCCTTCCAATACTCACATATATTTAATATACAATTTATCAACAATTTACTGTTTTAAATGTTGTGTTTTGGTAAAGCAGCGACTTTCTCGCGAAATAAATTATTCTCTGCTAAAAAAAAACGTAATATTAATCATTTATGCCTTCCAATACTCAAAATAGCTGCTATATTTTTTAAACATTATCTGTTAATAACTTTTTAACAAACTTACCCCCGACTAAATTCACTTGCATGTTACTCGGGAAGGTATCTTTGACAATATATGTCAAATTCAAGGTCATCGGAAATGGCCCTAATTGTAAATATTTACCATAACTTATTAAGATTAGGTTAATTAGATCCA